ATGCGGGTGTTTACCCCTTCCTCTTTTCTTTTTTAACTTAAAAGAGACCCAGCTTAGATAATAAAATTTTCGTAATTATAAATAATTTTTTTTCTTTTAATTTCTCTTAGCCACAAAGAATATATACAATTGTTTAAAGCAAATTTCAACAACTTACGAACTAAGGATTACGGAAAAAAAAGTCAAGTATCAAATCCCAAAACAGCTCTGTATCATGTTAAGTTTTTAAGTATTATAGCTTTTGTGTAGCAATACAAAATATAATTAAGAAGCCGCCTGAAAATCGGGGAGGCAGCTCTAACTTACTGGAGTTCTCATTAAAGAAATGTATTTAACTGACGATGTTTTTTAAAACTGTCTAAAATATTAAAAGTCATAAAAATGGCGAGAAAAAAAATAAGGAAATTAAAAAAAAAAAAAAAAAAAACTAATAANAAAAAAATAAAAAAAAAAAAAAAAAAACTCTTTAAAAAATGTTCTCAGAAAACAAAATAGCAGCCTTTTTTATAAGCTGAGGACTTTCCTTTCTGACTGATGAAAGACTGAATACACATAATTACGCACGTCATATTATATAGATAGAACATTTAAAAAAATATCTTTAGAGTGAAATATGGAGTAATTTTTGAATATCAGTACATTTTATAAATTTTTGTTAGAATATTTACAACAGTCTGATATTAAAATAAAATCTTGAATTGCATTTTGAAAATTATCTGGATGATTTCTAGATTCTAGAATTATCTGGATGCCCAGACAACTTAACTCAATCTTATCGTCTTTAATTTTTATAAAAACTGGTTAAACATAAAGGAAATAACTAGAAAAAAAAATCTTTTTGTATCTGCTGCCGTTGAATGCCAGATAAAATATGACTTCTTCGCGTAGCATTAATTTCATTTATATAAAAAAGTATGGATCTAAGGGCTCTATAAGACTTGTAGTTTCTCTAAGGCCAATGATAATCTCTATTTTCCATTCTTAACTGCAGGGATGCTACTCGCAAAATATCAAATTGTCTCACCAGAAATTGCATTTCGTCTCAGTTAAAATCTCTTTTTGGCTCAGTTTGTCTCAGCTAAAATTATTTTTTTCACTCAGTTTATCTCAGCTAAAATGATTATTAATCAGTTTGATAACAATATAAAGATAATTTTCAGGATCCATAAAACCATTAATAGCATACTAGGAGTACTACAATTATACATACATTCACTATTGCTAGGATTTTAAAAAACCTGCATATGATTGATTATAAGAGTCCACAAAATTGTTTTATGGACTCTGTTGTTTTCATATATATTGCATTTATCATTTATGCCAATGAATAGTATCTGTTCCAGAATTTTACAAAGTAAATTTTAACTTTCTTATTTTTTAAAATATAATGGTGTTAACTTTCTAAAAAGAAATATCTATTTAGTTTCAGTAATTCAAAAGGGAAAATACCCATTTTATTTTGAGCTCAAATTTCATCTCAAAATATATAACTATTCAGTTACAATGAAAGGTCTACAGATTTCAATAATTAAAAGAGAAATTCAGTAATTAAATAATGAGAGTTTAAGAAAATGCAAATAACACAAAAAAAAACACTCTTTGATAGAATTCAGGAGGTGCAGTGAAATTTTGAAATATTTTAGGTAGGAATTTTTCAAGAAAATTTTAGGGAGCACTTAATAGCCAAAAATTAGCATATATACATTTTTATATCAAAACAGAAATATTTAAAAACTATTATAAACAATTTAAAAAGACACATATAAATATAATTTTCTTTCTAAAATGACTTGCATCCTTTATTAAGTATAAAAGTAAACTTTTTAGTTTATTGGCATTGACTAGTAGATTGTACTTTCTTGCATTCACAAGATTAGTTAGTTGACTATGTTCTTTTAATTTGTATAGCTAAATATACAATCATAAAATGTGATTATGAATGCACTTAGTAATTGTTTAAATGCAACAACTGTAGAAAAATATATCACATCTTTACAGTAACTAATTCAAGAAAAAACTTAATTCTACTTCTTTCTAGAATC